TTTCCAACTTTGTCTTCATTTCTGTGATGGTTTTAGTACTTTTTTCCTGAACCTACCAGCTCCCATTGCCTCTCTTCCTGTCAACCAACAATTTTTTTCTTTAGCTCTCATATATTTTTTTTTGTGGTCTTCCTTCACAGAGTTATTGCTTCATTATTCTTTTAAATCTATGATAAAATATTTGATCACAATTTTCATTTGCCCTGTGGCCTCATTTTTCTAGTGACAATTTTTGTTAACAAGCACTACTACACTTTCTTTGTCTTGTCTTGGATGCTGTGTGGCTTACTTCTTTATTACTCATCATTGAAAGAGGTGGATTTTCTTGACCAGCTCCTGGTAGTAATGGGAAACAAGGGAGGGTGCTCTTGCAGTGTAGCTGCCACCCAGGTAGACTGCCTCCTGAAAATTTGCCATCCATGTGGCTTTCTGTATGTCTCCTCTGCTTCTCTGAATTAAACTGAGTCCAGGAGGACATCCTCTGGCCTTGCTCACCAGTTCCTCTACCTAGTGCTGCAAACAGCGGATAGAGCTTTTGTCTCCCTCACCTTCGGGAGCTGTCTTTTTTGCTGGCTTTCCTGAAATCCACCCCCACTGGGCCCTCCATCCACACTTCACGCTTTTCACTTCCTCCTACTTTGCTTCTGCTCAGCCCCAGCTGTTTTTTTAACGTTAGCCTTTATAGACATTTTGAAATCTAGAGATACATATCTCCTAGTTTGCCAAAAATAAAGTTTGTGAGATTTTCCTTCTTTTTCTTGCTTTTTCTGTATGTTTTTATTATTGTTTTTTTTTATTGTTCCCCATAAATTGTTTCCTTTTTTAAGATTTCCAGGGAAAGAAATGAATAATGCTGACTTATATAGACATTTTTATACTAGAAATACCTAGGTTAATTTTAATAACCTTAACTCTAACCAGGACTAGGAGGGAAAAGGAAAGAAAAGAGAGAAGCGTAGAAGGAGAATGAGGGAGAACAAATTATAGGAAATCTGCCTATAATTTTTAAAATATAATGAAACGTACCAAAAGTAGATTATGACATGATTTCTCTGGATCATAAAACCTGGTCTCCTAGCTAACACATATTCTTCCCTCAATGGCTCAAGAATTGATTTAACTAAAAAAGTGAGTTGGGATTATAGACACATGCAATAATATGGCAGGAGAATCCTCAAAAATTAAGAATATATATGCCTAGATAACTCTGGATATAATCAGTTAAGAAACATGAACTCACAAATCTTCACTAAAGAAAAATAATCATTCTGTTCATTCGAATGAGTCTGACAACCCCAAATCGCAGGTTCTTGTGCCCCATCCCAAGTCTGCTGAATCAGAATCTCTAAAATAGGATGCAGCAATCTGCATTTAACTCCTCAGGTGATCCTAATGCAAAGTGTGGGAACGCATGGCCCAAAAAGATGCCCCCTCATTTACTAACTGACTTACAGCCCAAGGCCACAATGGTAGGAAACAGCACAGCTGATGTTCCAATATACAACTCAAGTATGACAGACTTAAAAACCAATGCTTCTAATTATTTTGCAACAGAGGTAGGTTCTCTGAAATGTTTATAAAACTTTAGAATTAGGGGGAAATAGTGAGTGAGAGAGACAGATGCACAGATGTCACCTCAAGAGGAAAGACTGCTGAAGAATATAAAGGGGTTCAAATTTATCAGCTAATTTCACAGATGAGAACTACATAGGGCATGTGACTAGTACAGTCATACATTCAGAAGGGCCCACACTTGGGGTTTAAAGTTCTGTGGTTGCTATCATGAAATTCTTAATAATTCTGTTACGAAATTGGTGTTTTGTATATGAAGTCTAATGGAACGGGGAAGCAAGTGGGCTTAGAGTTTTGGCTCACACGCAGTCCCACCACTTCCCCTAGATGAGTTCTGGGTAACAAATTCCCTTTTCCCTGGCTCCCCAGGTCCTGCCAGCCTCCCCCTTACCATTCCTGCCTAGTGCCTGCTGCTGCCCTGGGTGCAAGCAAAGAAAGGTCTGGGTGTATAACTTTACTCATACTCTTATTTTCAATATTTCTAATTACTTTATCTGAAGGGATCTCATAAGCTCTGTGACCCAAACTGCAATTGTTTTTTATTAGATGAGTCAAACCTATTTACATGTGTTGATGTAATTGATAAGCTTGTTTATAGTTCCCTCAAATTAATTATGATATGCTTTCTGTTTCGATAATTTTAAAAAACATATATTTTTATTTTAACAAATCAAATATGGTTTGTTTTAGTTTCCTTCTTTTTGTGGGTAATTTTTGTTCTAGTGGTTATCCATATAATCATAATACTCTTCTTCTATTTGTTTTCAGTCAATAATAATTCCATATGAGCAATATTTACACCTAGTATATTTCCTCTTCCTCCTCCACCCAATATTAGTCAATAACTTTATCTCTCTTAGAATTTACTCTTATATTGTTAAATACGCTCGTACTTCTATTACTCAATTTGGCTGCTTAAACGGTCTCTCAGGGTGCGGCATAGGGACAGCCATCTGCACCCCGGGCTAGCAGCACCTCAATGCATTTGGTGGGTGACTCGGTAGAGATGAGCCCCTTGCCCACCCCCAATCCAGGTACCTAGTGTGTCCCAGCACAGAGACTGCAATACACTTGGAGGTCATCTATCCACCATGGGTTAGAGCAATGGGCCCATGGAAAGGGAGAGGCCAGCCTCAACTTCTCTGCCCCTGGTCAGGGCATAGCATGTCAGCCCACTAGCTGGTGAGAGGCAGAACCCCACAGCAAGTGAGTTGTGTGTGCACTAAGTCAGAGTGGGGGCCCCAGGCACCTGGGAGGGTCCGTACTTGCCCCATGAGTATCCCCATGCCTCAGGAAGCATGACATTAAATAGCAAATTATAAAACACCTTTACAGGTCAAGAGAGAGAGACTATGGAAGAAAGGAAAAAGCTTTATATTTTACGCCTTTAATGGCACTTTTTTCATGCTTTTTGAACAAGGGGCCCCACATTTTCATTCTGCACTGGTCCCCACAAATTATGTAGCCAGGCAGTCCTACAAGGAGTAGGTTTTGAGGGTACATCCCTACACACTTGAAAGATGATAACCATGGCCTTCACCAAAAGTCACCTGAAACCATGGTCGAGGCCAGGATGCTGAATGATCACTCAAACACATACAGACACTGTTCAAACTCCCCTAGTCCTGCTACTTCTATTCTAGTCAACTGACTTGCTACTTTCTCATATCACAAATAATACTGGAGAACTACAAAGAATTCAAGGAAAAACAGTTCCAACTTTTGCTGCATTTATATTTAAAACATGAGGCTTCTACTTTAATCACGTGAAAATTTTCAAAAGAATCATCGTGGAAACTAAGAGAATACGATCATTAAAGTAGCTCGAAGCAAATATTCTCCAGAGCAGTCAACCTGGCTGCAAAATCCTTTTATTACCTTTACCGAAGAAATTTCTCCAGCAACCATAATAAACGTACGGCAAGGGAAATAAAATGTTCACTGCAGGATTTCTAAAGGGAGGTATAATATTTGGGAAGAAAACTCGTTTTATTGTGCATTTAGAGTAATTCATAAGATAAACACAAATGAGTTGTAATCACATTAAAAAATTAACCTGATAATTCCCTAAACATCTGCTTTTTTAGAGAGAAAAAGGTGTTTCACTGTAGTAAATTGATATGTTGAATGAAAATGCAAGTTTTTTCTTAATATTTTCTTCCTTTAAATACCATAGGATATATGTTCCTTCAGGCTGGAATTTCACAATCTAAAATCATCCCACAAAACTACCAGAAGAGCTCCTCCTAAAATTCCATTCACTTTTCTCTTCTTCCTAGCAGAGATGTAAAAAACATCTGGTGCTTTCTTCCAATTTTCCAGGAAAAATACCATTTTTAAAAGATAGAGGGAAAAACCCTAGAGGAGCTTGGCAGAAATAAAGAGCATATAATTAAAAAAAAAAGTGTGTGAATATTTGAATTAATAGTTTTAAGACAAGAGACAAGTAATACAAATGGTTAGCAACACAAATTCCAGAAAAGGAATAAAATTTGGCTAACATTGTCAAATCACATCTTAGAAGCCTGAGTAACTCTCCCAGAAAAATGAAAGAGGGAAAATGAACTATTTAATACACAAACACACAATACTTCTCATAGAATGTTACACTTCTTTTCTTCTTTCTTGTCTGCAAGAGTAAGATAAAAGAGAGATATAAGAGAAAGAATAAGATGCTGTGATTTGCTTTATTTTCTCATGGCCTTAGACTGAGGGTTTCTGACTTCAGTCTTTCTCGTTCCCTATTTGTTCTTATGGAGATACTGGCTGGAGGGGACAGGGAATCTCTCCCTATCTCTTCTCCCTCCCCTCCCCTGCTCTCCTCGTCCCACTAATGGTTTGGACTTTAACTCTCACCAAAGTGATTACCTCCTCTCCTATTTCCTCTACAGTGAATCTATAACTTATAACTCTTCTGACCCTTGCTCTTTATTCCTTCATGTTGTAGCTCTTCTCTCCTTCAATTATTCCCTTTTTTGTGCACATCTGTCCATGTCTCACAACTGCTAGAACATATGGATGATGCTACAAGCAAACGGGCACCTTTTTTCACACATACATTATATTCCTTAGCTTTACCCAGTCACCTCCACAAAGTGCCATCCAACCGTTGTACGTACCGCTTCATGTCATGTGAGATTAAAAGAGGCACAGAATTAGACTAATAACTATCTAATCTAGACTGTTCTTCACAGATAGCTTCTGAAATCACCTGGAAAGTAAACAAACAGGTCTCAAACATGCCCACATTTATTCAGCTTCTACCCGTCTTGGTCTAGTCACAGCACTTGCGTGCTTTCCACGAGCATACTTTCCAGTATGAGGCTGAACAAAAGTTAGATCTCAAACCAAGAAGAGAAGGGACTGAATGACTGCAGATTGAGAATGGCGGTCATGACCATTCACATCCCAGAAAAGGACAATCATACCTTTGTAATTGCAGTGAAGACCTTTTCCAGAATGGCATTTGGCTGAGCAATCTGTGGTCCATTGGCCTGAATATTGAGGGCTATGGCACATGGTTTGGCTACAAATCTTTAAAAAAAAAAAAAAAAAGAAAAGAAAAGGTCAGAAGTTATTCTTTCTATAGTTGTTACCAGTTATACATTACTCAATTGTCCCAATAAAGTGCTGATAAGATTTTATGGGTGGACATTGTCAGCACTCATATGTCGGCAAATATAAAGCAGATTTAACTTGTTTCTTCTCCTTTAGTTGCCCAGCAGTAACAGTAAAAAAGAAATCCTTTTAAAACATTTAAACCTCCTGATCCTCAAGTTCTAATGAAACTGAACAGATAAAAAAACTATCAAAGGACAAATATAAGTGCATAAGTGAGAAATATAAACAAAATGAACCATGATTTTAAAATGATATAATTTATACTCTTCTAACACGTGACTAGCAATATAGTCATGTTATATTTTTACTATGAGAAAGTGTTTACTAACCATCTGATTACACATGGAGAGTGTGTTTTTGATCACCCCTAGTCATAACATTGGCCATTTTTGTCTCTATAATCAAAGTGTGCTATATTCAGCCCCAATTCCTATGGCTTTTTAAAATTCTCTGCTTTGTGGTTATTTGCCTCTTTCTCATAGGGAGTAATGAAGACTGTCAAACAGCACGATTTCTCAGATAAATTGAAAAGTCTGAAATGATTTCAAACATCAGCTACTTTATCCTAAGCAAATAACAATGTCAAGAAGAATAGGAAGATTTAGCTTGATTTCTAGGTATTTCTGATATGTGAATGAAGCATCGAAGGAGTGCAGGCAGAGGGCATGAGGCCCCCAAAGGTATGGTGACATGTCTAAAACCCCTTTAAAAAGAAAAAGCATATATAACTTTAAGAGTTGTTTTAGACTAAATGTTCAAGAAATAAGGTTCTATAAATGTTCCTTTTCAGTAGCAACATTTAACATTTTCTCCTAATACAAAATAATATAATATTATATGAAAGTATTACCCAAGTTAATTTAATGTTGGCCAAAGGCAACAACTGATAAATGTAGAAAACAGATCATGAGTAAATCTCAGACAAAGCTTCTTTAACAGTCGATAAGATTAAAGAAGAGTAGAAAAAGAAGGAATTTTTTTTTAAGTGTGACTAATAAAGTTTGCATACATAGTACCACATAATATCCTACTGGGTCCTATTTCAGGTAAAAGAGAAGATATTTATTCACACAGGAAAATGGAATACTGTACACACAAGCCTAAACCAGGAAAGACGTACACAGAAAATGCAATATAATATCTGTTTCACTGGGCTCTCTGGGACAAAGTTAGGAAGAAAGAATAACCACTCTTTCCCAGTACATAAATCTTCTAGAAACTAAAGTTTTCCCAAACCTTTTGTATTCTCATTTCGTTTTACCGTAAAACTTTCTAAGCTATATTACCTCTGCCCCTACCTTCGTAAAGAGAAGTGTAATCTTTTTCTAATAACTCTGGGTCATCACTATGAACAATAATCATGGAGCTATGGTTATAGCTAATGGAAAGAAACGAAGGTTGATGAGTAACAACCACAGAAGAGAATCTAGAACTTGTTTCCTTGACAGAGTTTCCTGCTTTGTGGTTATTTGCCTTTTCATCACAAGGTATAATGAGGAATGTGGAAAGACATGAGGTCCAACAAAACTGGGGGAAAAAAAAACAAGGTAAAATAACAAAATTAATTTGGTGTAAAGGCCCAAATCAATTCTTCCAATGGTTGCCTTCCACTCTTTCCTGTTGGATAATTTTCCCCAGCCCTCTCTCATCTTCCCCATTCCCACACCTTCTGATACATTGTGTTCAAATTCTCTTTTGGAATTTGTCATCATCATCCTTGTAACATCCTCCTGGTCTAGTACATGGTCTTCTTTCTTCTCCTAAAGAGTGAAGAGTCTAAATGCAGAGGCTGATCATTTCATTTCTGAATATGCCACAACAGAGCCTGGGTGTACACAGGAGAGGGTCAAATTTGACCAGTTGGCTATCTTCAGTAAATTTGTTTTCACTGTTGCTACCATTGTTTTGAGTGCTGTTGACAAGCTAACAGACCTTGTTTGTGTGTCCCACAACAATGTGCCGGCAGGCAGCAGGACAGCCAAGAAATTCACTCAATAGAATCTCCGTTACTATAACATTTTACACCTCTCTCCTTCTCATTTTAAGCTTCAAACCACTTTTTAAAAACTCTTATCTAAATTTCAAGAACTAGTGCAATAGCACCTTGAAAAAGGCATATCCCTTGACCACCAAACGTATCAAATTTCGATAATGAAAATTATCAAATAAACATGATGCTCCGTAAACAGATTTTTAAAGCAATGTTCAAAGGATAGGGTTGGAATAATCTGTTACTATCTGGCTATGGAGCCCTAGCTACAGAAATTAATCTCTCTGTGCCTCAATCTCTTCATATTCAAAAAGTTATAGTAATAATTACATATGTATATAAATTGTATGTGTATACAAACACACATATATGTTAAAACATAATGTCACATGGTCTTTTTGTCTAAAATCTTTGATGTTAGCCATGTGTGTGGTTCCATACCATAACATTTACACACCATGACTTCTTTGGGCCCAGCAACTCACTCAGCTTCAACTACACTGTGCCAAGCTTTGTGCATCCAACAAGTTCTAAAAGTATCAAGCAAAAAAGAAGAGACCAGGGGCTGGCCCGGTGGCACAGTGGTTAAGTTCGTGCACTCTGCTTCAGCGGTCCGGGGTTCACAGGGTCAGATCCCGGGCGTGGACCGACACACCACTTGCCAAGCCACGCTGTGGCGGCGTCCTATATAAAGTAGAAGAAGATAGGCATGGATGTTAACCCAGGGCCAATCTTCCTCAGCAAGAAGAGTAAAATTGGCAACAGTGGTTAGCTCAGGGCTAATCTTCCTCACAAAAAAAAAAAAAGAAGAAGAAGAGACCAGAAACTAAGACAGGCAACTGAAAAAGACAAGGGTCATCAGGTAGAGCGACCACTTGCCTCAGTTTGCCCTCACAGTCTGGTTGTCCCAGCATCATTATTAATGGCACCACCTTTATGGACAAAAGCATCTTTGATATTTTGCCACAAAAATTAAAAAAAAACGAAGTGTCCCCATTTGGACAATAAACTGTAGTGACCCTCATCATCAAACCCCAGGCCTGGGGTGGGTCCACACTGAGTCCACACTACCAATGCCATCAGGGTCCAAGCTCATCCACGCCTGGTCTTCTCTCAAGGCCCAAACCTTTCCATCTCCCCTACCCATCCCCATGGCCCTCTAGGGTACTGTGCCCACACTTAGCACAGGATAATTGGTATGAACATGTGTCCTCTTCCACGTGTGCCCGGTAGGAATGGCTTTAGGGAAAGCCCGCATCTCTGGAGCCTGGCACACGAGCTCATTTAATCCTTCCTAAACCAGATGAGGCTGGATTATCATCACCTCCACTTTGCAGAGAGGTGACAAGCCTCTGTCTCCAGGGGAAAGGAAGCAGAGGATGGCATATTTCTTTCCAAGAAAAGTCAACGCTATCATCAGCTCCCCATCTGGATTTACTGGCCAGGCTAAGTCCCAAATTCTGAGGATTTGGGGGGAGAGGTGGGGTGTGAGGAGTGACAGACAAATTTAACAGAATTTAAGTCAATTTAAAGGTTGAAGCTCTTTACATTTAAATGGACCATGGTGGGTATGCACAACAAATCAAACCACTTGAATTCTTTGGAGAAGTTACTATGTCATAGAATACTTTTATGTACATGCCTAGCATACTGTGGGCACTCAATGAATATTTGATGAACGAATGAATGAACAAATCAGCTAAAATACAATGGTAGGTGCCCTTCCTATCTTTTCCACAGAGGCTGTGCATTTTAACTCCTTTGAATACCCACATCCACTCAGGGTCCTCATTTGGGACTCAAAGGGTGGGAGACTGACCATTCTGATACAAGAAGCCGTTTCTATAATTCCCATTGTCCCCATGAAGTCAAAGCTGCCCCACAGAGAACTTGTGTAGGCTCCACCAACCCCTGACTAGATGTTCTCTTTTCAACTTATCTAGTACAGATGGCCAAACACTTAATTTCCTAGATTTAAAAAATTTCACAAGAGAGGTAGAAAACAATTTCAAATCCCAAATGAGAGAAGAATCTCTCTTTATCTTCTTAATAGTATTCCTAATTATATGAAAATATTGAAATTTTATTTGTGTTTATTCTCCAAAGAATTTGTGAAGCACTGTTGGCATTTTTTTTCAGAGAGCATATTAGACAGCAAATAAAACTCATGACACAATGACCACAGTTTTCTCACCTACTGTCATGATCCATTAGAGAAAAGGCGGACATTTTTGTTTTCCAATGCTAGCTCTAACAGAAGTAAGTTCACAAAAGCTGCCTTTCACCAGGGTTGTCTTAAAAGAGAGAAATAAAGAGAGATAGATGGAGGGCAGGTTAGAGTACCTACAAATATAATAGATGAAAGGAAATATGTACTTTCAAGCATTGATGATTACCTCTACCAGGAAATGCTCACCTAATTACTTTTTTATCAAAGGCAGCAATACCACCTTCAAAAGATCAAACATCTATAAAGTACTTTCACGTAGAATAACATATTTGAAAGTAAATATAATAAGGATGTAAGCTTTGAAAAATACTAGTCTCCATTTAAAAGCAGAGAAAACACCTAAGACATTCCTACTTTTTAATTCCACTTAGCCACATGTATTTGTATTTTCAACATGAATTAAACATCTCTGCATAGAGCACTGAGGTAAGCCCTGGGCTGTGGTGTGGCTAAAGGCATACACAAAACATGAAGTGATTAATGCACTCAAACACGTTTACAATATGGAAAAGGAGATTAATAAAAAAAATAGATGTTTACAGGGTATATGTCAGTTCTAATTACAGAATACTATGTAATCATCTCCAGTGGGGAGCATGGCCAGAGACTTTTAGTCCTTTCTAACTCTAGTATTTCCTATACTTTTCAAAATAGTGTAGTTGGAAGGCTGTGGTGGTGGATACACAAACCTAC